AGAATGAAAATAAAAAATGCAGAAATGTCGCGAATTATAATTGAGCAATTAATTGTCCTCAAGGTATACGTGTGTCATCTTCATTTCATGTGTCATCTCGAGTCCTCTCTTGCGCCCTTAATGCCATAATCCTCTATTCCCCCAGCCCCTCTCAATCGAATCTTCCTTCCATTCCACGCGCGCGTGTACACGCAGATGTGTTTATTCAAGAAGTTTGTCGGGATTAGAATCAACAGACGTAACAAGTTGTTTCGGCGTTGAGGGGTCGATAGTGACCCCAATCGATTCATCTAGAAGTTCATCATGGAATGATTGAAAAAAAAACACGACCCGTTCGGCTCCGATATTTTTCAAGAAAACAAGTATTAAAAAAAATATATTTTTGAACGATTCCGTCTTTTTTTAATCTTGTAAATAAAGTTGTGGGGCAAAAGGCTTTGCTAATCGATTCCTTTCCATCAGTAATTCGTTATCCACCCGATGGTAAAGTTTCATGGATATTGAATGCATCAGAGTGCACGGATAGAATTGGTTTTTCCAGGAAAATGCAATATTTTTTTTTGTATTCTATTTCTTTTTACGAAATAATAAATCATCCGAGCGTTTCACCATTTCATCCGCCGAAAGATTTAGGATGGGTTGGAATCCGTGTAAAATTTGAGATTGGAAAATGCCCGGGGCGAGTGTGACCCGGTGAACTCTGACCTTCGGTGGGGTATTTTGTGTGGGTGAAAATTCCTCGCCCTCCCCTCCCACTAGTCGGTGTTGGCATCTGTCGAAAAGGTCAGGCTCAGATGATTTTTCACCGGAATTCGAAACCGAATTTCCGGTTCAACCCTTAATATGCAGTACCAGAGAAAATTAATGAAGAAATTGCTCCATCCAATTTCCGATTGAATGGAGTCGTTTTGCCCCACTAGGTGAGGAGAAAACAGGATAAAATTATTTCACTCGAATTTAATTTTTCGGTGAAAACATGTCGACAATGTCTCGAGAATTATGAGCCGCAGAGACATGAGTAAAAAACATTTTATTCGTCACAAAAATCCCCCGATTTTTCACGCGACATGTCTCGGTGTCTCCTCAATGGTCGTCAAGACAGATATTTTAGTAGAGTGAAACGCATTTCCTTGGGAGCAAAATGCACAATGTCTAATTTTCTTCTAGAATTTCATTCTCCCCTGATTCTCAATGTTGAAACATTTGTGAAGTCACTCAGCGTCCAATCTTCCTCTGAAACCCGTTTATATATGATCAAAGGGTTGCACCTGGACACGAGAATCGATGGTACGAAGAGGCTCGGAAAAGGAATAAAAAATAATACCCACCCCAACCGGCGCGGGANGCGGGAGGGAGGGGGGGGGGGGGTGAGAAGTAGCACCGAGTTGAACGAGGAAATTGACGAGGTGGCAAGTGAAAGAAAGAGAGAGAGAGAGGGTGAGGATTCCCCAGTTGAGGTACTTTGATTAATCGAACTCTATTGGAAAGTGCCCTATATATAACTCGAGCAGAATGGCCTGACTGATTGACGATTTCAGGGAGAGAATAAAACGGCCATAAAAAAAAATCAGTAAAAAGATCCAATAAAAAAATTCACACTTCGACGTTTTCCTTCACTACATTCAGGGGTGAAGAATCACCCCATCAAACAGATCGGCAAATTTCCTCCAAAATTACAAAAAAAAAAGATATCTCATTTTGCCCCATAATTTATCAAGTTAGAGGCAAAAAAATATTTTCAACTCAATCGCGTCATTTTTTTGCAATAATCTGATAAGTAACGGGGCAAAACGGATCGCCATTATTTATCCAGCCTCAATTACCCCCCCCCCCCCCCGTTCCCCAATTTTTTGAATATCAATTTTTCCCCCTCTGATAAAATTCAAACCCTTGCCAAATTCCGACCGCAAAAATTCATTCCGTAAAAGGTAATCCATCCCCCTGACGCCTAAACAATTACCCAATCCGCCCAGAATTCAATTTTCGTGCGGTGGAAAATCAAATCCCCCCCCCCGTTGGATTTCATCACCGTAGATAAAATAAATGAAGAGAAAAAAAAAGTGGATTTAAAATCTAGTGTGCAGTGCCATTCATTCTTTACCCATGTTCAACTCTATTTGCGGGGGCGGCAGTTGCATGTGCCGCAAAAGAGAGCATAGCGAGCCTCCCGGGGGCTCTATCGACCGACTTCTCTCATCCAACGGTTACTGGCTGAAGGCAGTTGTGCAGCCACTGGTCGCATACAGTTCCACATTTTTTATCCCCCTTCAGTCCTTTTTTTCTTAATTATCCTCGCGGAATCTTGACATTTTGCTGGAGTCGATAAAGCCCCCGATCGTAATTACAGACATTGTTATGCGGCATTCGAGGGGTTCTGATGAGAATTAGGTATTTGAATTTCTGAAAAATTGGCGGGAAAGTGATTGGACCGTTGGTATTGACTGGGCGGAGAGATTTCCGGTTGAAAACACAGGGAATCGACCCGTTTACTCCGCACATTCTCGAGATATCGGAGGAGCTGCGGAATGAAAAAGTTTTTCAAATGTTGCCCGGAAACTGATGGAGTGAAATAGGTCGTTACGCTGGGTTTTTGATCGGAAATTCTCCTCCAATACCGCTACTTTTATCCGTCTAGCTATCATCATTCTTGAGATGTTCATCAAAATGATGGAAAAAAAAACGTGTGAATTTATTTACGTTTTTTTTAATATCGCAATGTTGGATTAAAGGATGTTGCGGAACGCAAAAGTTTTTCGAGTCCGGAATTAATGGAAAATATACGTCTTCTACGAGTTTTGGATTGTAAATTTCTATTCATGCCTCTAGCAATCATCATTATCATGATATTCATCAAAATAGTAAACGCGTGCGGAAGAGTAGTTGCGGAACGGAAAAGCTTCTCAAGTGTTGTCCGCAACTAATGGACTGAAATAACTCTTCATCTGGAGTTTTTAGTCATAAATCTCCCTAACTCTCTATTGTCGCCATATTTATCCCTCAAGCTATCACCATTCCCGCGATATTCATCGAAGCGATGGAAAAAAAAACGCGTGTATTCACTTGCGTTTTTTTTGCCTCAATCTGTATTCAGTTTGTAGCGGTTGAGGGTGATAAAAGAACACGGCTCATTGTTCGATAAGTTGCCAGGGACATGAAGGGGTGGGATAATGTTTCTGTGACGAAAGCAACATTATTTTATTCATGCCTCCGGGACGCCGAGAATCAGCTTGCTCCAGCGTACCTTCACGTCACGAACAATTTCCATATGCAAAGCGTCTGCCGCGCGATGGCTCGCTGCGGAGTAAAGTGGAACGGAGGTGGTCTGTGCGATAGTATTACACGGAGGTACCACCCCCTTTTCCGTCGCCCCTCTCATCCCCCTATTTCCTTACTGGAACTGTTGCTTGGTGATCAGGAAGCGGAAACTTTGGAGAGGATCTAATGCAGCAAAGTTTCGAGGCCCCGGGAAATCTTTGTCGAGTTTTTCTTCGCGATAGTTCTGTCACTAGTTTTCCGCGGGGGTAAAACAGTCGTTTTGAAGGGAGGGAGTGTGAAACAAAAATGGCGGATTTTGAAGTTCTGGGATTTGATGGTAGAGAGTGGGGTCAGCGAATAGCCAGGGAAATTTGAGACGGAAAACTCAATATGACGACCTTTTTTGAGAGATAATGAGTTTTTGAGAACTTGAAGAGATATATAGGTCGACTTGGGAGTCGTTTCCAGCTCAAATATTCTGAAAAGTCAGTGAGATTATTTACAATCCTCTATCTTCATTCGTATTCACGTTAGAATTTTTGGAAACAGTGATGTTAGCGATAATTGGGGAAATTTATATTTTCATGTGTTATTATTGGCATCGGTGAATATAAACTCATTATTGAGCTTCATGACATCAATAACATCTAATCTAATTGGTGAGTCGATCAGACAATTAATTCATTAGTCACATTTTTTTCAACAATTTCTTCATTCAAATTCTTGTCACATTCTTCCGTCAGAGAAAAGTTCACTCCTTATTTCCGAGTTTCATTTCAATGCCGAGACTAATTTCCCACGGGACATTGGAAATACATTCTAATACCCCGGAAAATGCAGATGCGATAAGAATGCCGACATCGAGTGGAATTTTTTCAATATTCACTCTCGTGACCTCTAATGTCCCTTCAACAACAAAAAATACCTCACAATTTTCCTCATTTCTCTATGCACTTTCATGTACCAAAGTACATTTACTCGTACATTTCCCCCCCTCCCCTGTCAAATGCGATTACTAACGTGGATTGGTAATTGAGACCATCATTGTAATTGCATTCGCCGAAGGCTGGACAGTCTGTGCCACCTGCACTGTTGGACACGTAGCGAGACTCCTCGTTTCGCGGAATACCAATGAATGTGTTATCACTGTTCTACCTAAAGCACACGCCTGGAATCGCTCGATGTAAGGCGCCTAACGTATACTTTGTTTGCTGTGGATATCGCTGAAATTATGTAATCGCACGACGCAGGATGAATTTTATATTATCCTAGAAATTTCCATTCCGAAAGATGTGGGAATAGGGGGTAGAAAGTGACCTCATTTAATACCCAGGGGAATCTCTAATTCAATTTAAAAAAACCCATCCTATTTCACACCATAACTTGCGGATAAAATGTAGAACAAAAATTTTCACCGCAGAATATTTTTGGGTTATGTCGACATATTGCGGAACGAAATACTGCATCATTTCCCTGATGATGAGATCTTAAATGAGTCCAAGTGATGGGCCAGAAAGTTTCTTATAATCGTAAAGCAACGACTGATTTTGCCACATTATGCGGAAGAATCTGCGATCGAGAGTCAACGGCCGCAACATTTTTCGGCGTTATGTTGGCAGCATGCGGAGCGAAATCGGTATTTTTTTTTGAGGTGAATATAATCTCATGAAAAATGATAACTCATTTCCGCATTATGTCGACTTCCGCGTTATGTAGCCAGCTTGCGGAACATTTTCCTCATGAAATTAACCAACAAAGGCCTCCTCGGAGTCATCCCACCCCCTCAGATGATTCTTCTTGAAAGCATGCCACGCCAGTTCAATGAGCAGCTGACCAGTAGCAAGGCAATGTCCATACATCAACAACTGGAAAGCTGCCCCCATCTTGTCCATGCCCACGGATTCCTTCTGCTCCTCTACATGCTCCCGAAACTGCCTATCCTTCTCATCGCTCTCCCACTTCTTCAAGAGCCCCCCCTCCTGAATTATCCCAATCACTTCATTAAGTTTGTCCTTGAGGAAGAACCTTTTCCGCGTGGCATGCAGCCGCCAGAAGCTCATGAGGGACTCCTCCATCACGCGGAGCTGTCCCTTTACCGTGCCATCATTCGTCTCCTCATACGCGTTTTTGGCGATGTGATCTTTAAAGTAATCCGCAGCATTGGCGTCCATGGTGCACCCGACATCCCCCGCCTCAACCGCCCTCTGCGCGCACTTGGTGAAGTTCCCCTCGACCTCCAACTGCCCCACCAACTCCATCCGCTCCTGAATGCTGGAGTGACTCAACACAGTCTGCTGCCAGGACGGCACCAACACCGTGAGTTTACTGTCAATCAACCCTCGGAGAGTCTTGATATCCTTGTAAAACGACGAGCTGAGGTCGTTCACCAGTCGTCCCTCGTAGAATTCCACCAGGAAGAATGACCAGATGACGAAGGATATGCAGAAGAGCCTCTCCGACGCCCGCGTCCCGATGAAATCGAAGTGCTGATAAATCAGAAGTCTCCATACATGTATGAAGATATGGGTATCCTTCTCCACACGGAGGTACACGACGAGGAGGATCATCACAATGAAGAAGAGGATCACCACTGTGAGATCAACGGACGAAAACATGTTCAAGATTCCGCGGATTGGACGAGTTCTTGGAACGATAACCACCAGAGCTGTCCGCCATCTCGGGTAGAGAATGTCCAGCTCCTGTCCATTGATGGACTCCAGGTAGAAAGAGTTTCCGAGGATGTCAGTGTCTCTCATAAGCAGATCACCAATTGCTGCGGTTCTCTTTCTGTTCGACAACTGGAAGAAAGTATCAGCGAATGTCACCTGTTTCATGCTGGACTTCATCGTGAAGTTCAAGCGCTCCGAGAGGAACGTCATCAGAGCGTAGTCACCGCCATCCATCGGTGCCGGGTGAGTCTTGGGGTAGACGTAGGGTGGATTCTCATAGAAGGCTATGCGGACCGGGTACTTATGGAGATTCTTCAACTTGTCCGGAAAGAATTCGCTGGTCAGGTTCATGAGTTCACCAGGAGGATTCTCGGTGCCAACCAGAAACGGATTGTACGTGTGGATCAGTGGGAGGTCTTGGGTAGGGGTGATCGCGATGACGTTCAGCATCTCTCGTTGCCAAAAGCCGTGCAGAATCGATTTGATGCTTTTTACGTGGGAGTCAGTGCAACTTCCGGTGATCAAAAGAGCTATTCGCGTCGGTGCCGACAAGTAGCTGCGATGCACTTGCTTCCAGTGGTTCATCCACTCGAAGCTATTGATGATTGCAAAGATGTGGGTCATCTTCGTGCCGGTGGCAAAAGGAGTCCTAAAATCTGGAGGAAAAAGAAATCGAAATGTTCAAAATTTAGTCAATCTGCTGACAGGACTTTCTAGTTAAGGAGGTCATATCTCTGGACCTATTAGGGATAGATGCGCGGGGTCAGGTTCATTAGAAAGCTCGATAAATCTAACACTAGCTTCAAAAGATACGAGCGGTTTTGCCCCACTTTTTCCTGAGATGAAAGCACCGAATTCACCAAAATTTTTCTTCTTGCAATATCTCGAGAAGTTGATCAGATATGAATCCTATGGAAAATTTTGATGGCTATCTGATGAGATTCATACTGCACACTTCTCACACTTTGTTCTCCCAAATATTCGGGAAGAATAAATGATTCAAAAATATGATTACCTGAATGATGAAGTACGAGTGAGACAAGCGATCCTAAAGTCCTCAGAATAGGTTCAGAAACATCAGCCGGCACTCCGTCCTGCACAACCACATGAACAACTGATGAATTCCGGATGTTCTTAAGATACTCAATCGCCACGAACTCCAAACGTTTGGAGCCTTCACAATCACTTTCACTCTGAATAACAAAATTCTGGGAGTAATGGATAAATGAAACAACGATTAAAACTTTTAGACTATGATTTATGGAATCCATCCTCGGTTGGTGTTCCCCAGCGGCTGGAGACAGAGTGACAGGTTCCGTTGGCCCTCCCTTTCCCGAATATTGAACAGGCATTCGACACCGCATAATGATCGACCAATTGCCGATGATTTACGGCACAACAAATGAGCTGAACGTTTCGTCAATTTTCGGATTGATAATCATCGGTGGTGTTTTGACGTTCACCGGGACGGAACCGTCAGGGGCTGATGTACAGAGGGAAGATAACAGGAATGGAGCGGATACATTTCACACAGAGGGCGATAGATTCCTCGATATGGCTTTTTACGTCGTTCTGGTGGATCAAATGATTTGATATCTGATAGACCGTGGGAAGTGGGAGGTGGGGTTGGGTCGTTAGGCGAGGCTGATAGCTCAGACATTTACCATCAAATTAAGGGAGAGGGAGCTTTCTTGCACTATTGGTTACTAAATTACTGGTAAATTTTGAAAATGTCTAAGACATGGAGAACCCATTTTGGTGGATTTTGCGAGGAATTTTTCTAAATTTTACATTGTCCCAAGGTTGACAGCCAACATTGCCCAAACGTTATTCGAACTCCTGAGGCCAAAATTAGTAATCTTGACACAAAAAATTGGAAATTTCGAAATTGACGAATCCAATGCAAATAAGGATTTCATAAATTAATCATTATTTTTTCGGCATTTTCAATTCATTTCCCTCGTTGAATTCAACGACTCAACTCGAACATGTCCATATATATTATACTATAACTATAACATCGAGAATGAACGTTAATTTGTTTGAAACATCGGTTTAAATCTCTCTGGGTAGGTGGAATTAAATCTTTGTACAATTCTCGATGTAAGCTCTTATACTCCCACTGGCATGTTTCAGCAACTAGTTAAAGCTCTGTACGAAACTCCATTAGAGGGAGTACTTCTGCCTGTAACGGACGCATAAACAAAACCCTAATCCAATTGTTTGAGTTTAAAGTTTTCAGTTTTTTCGTTTCTGAAGGGGGAAAAAAAATTGTCGGACAATTTTTTTTAAGGAGAATAATGATTGCCTAACAAACGAAATTAGATTAGAAGGGGCGAAAAAAGCGCCGAGTCAAAAGTTGCTCGCGTATGGAGAGTAAATTACGGACGAATGAAATCCCCGGCGTTTTCACCAACAAAGGAAAATAAAATTTGCGGGAATAAAAATAAATAGATGCATACATGGATGCATGGTGAGTAAGGGGGCGAGGGGCGGTGAATGTGGACATAGGGGGTAGGTGCAGTGCCTTTGTAATTCTGTCTCTTGTGCTTTTGGTTGGGGAGTGGTAGTGTGAGAAAACAGGGAAATACGGATGGAACCACTAACGAAGCATCGGTTTCTGTGCCAGTTGCGGACATTTTTCAGAGCAACGAAAGGAGGTGGAGAGCCAATAAATTGGGCTATGTACCGGGGACTGATAAATTCAGAGAAGAATACATTGGACCAAAAATTCCACTGAATTTTTCCTCTTAAATTGAGGAGTGGGGAAAAGTGGGGCAGAATGGTGCGATTTGAATGAATTTGAAGGTGGTTGAAGCTTGTGAAAAGGGCTTCAAAGTGGCGGAAAATTTTTGAAATTTCACTCTGTCGATGTCACGATTTGAACATCGAATTAAATGCTCCTGCGCCTCCTTCATTTTGACTTGCGAATTAGACAAAATGTCGATGCTGTAAAAACTACTGCGGGAGAGAGATGTTCGGAGCTTCGTTGTTTACCATCCTGAGATTCCCCTTCTTCCTTCACGCTCTCTCCCCTCCTCCTGAATTTCCTCACAAATTAAATTGCACCTTCCAAGCATTACTTTCCACTACACCAGCTCTAAGTTTCTACGATTTTCGCCAGTAATTCATCCCATTGACTCTACTTCATCCCATCAGTATTGTTCATCGCATACTGTTGAAGTATAACTTCCCTGAACATCTCCCAGCCCTCGTGGCCTCAAAATATCGACAATTCTCCGCTCAAGAAATTCCTAAAGAATTTAAAACTCATCCCTCATTCTCCATTGACGTCAAGCCCTGACGAAAGCGGAAGAAAAAAAAACATTCGGCTCGACAACGAGAGCCCTCACCATAAATGTGTGAATACACACTCTGGAGGACGGACAAAAAAATGGCACCAACAAAGAGAAGGGAACCCATATTTGAAGTCACCTAGTCATTGCTGTGGCCGGGGGGGGGC